AAGAGAAATATGGCTACCACCTAGCCTATATATACTTGTGTAAGATGAGGATGGTACTATTTTGCTGTCTTCGGTCAATCACTGTATGTTATGAGTGATAATTTTTCTACTTGGCATCGTGATTGGCCAAGAATAGCAAAACAGTACTATCCTCGTTCCACACAAGTATTTCTCCTAGCATGAGTTGTGAGTGATGCCACAACACTGGTCCCCAAATTGTTTTCACATATATATATATATATATGTTAAATGCGCAACATACTTCCTAGTATACCCGTAGATAGCTGCAACTTTGCTTTTTATTTTTATTTTATTTTATTTATAAAGGTGAGAGAAAAGGCGAGAAAAATTCATTTGATCAACAGGAAAAAATAGTACAAATGACAAAGATTGTAAAGGGAGCTATCTCATTTACTATACAGTGAACATATGTAAAACCTTTCCAAGTGACCTAAGTCAACAACTGAAATGATTTGGAGAGAATCACTCTAAAAAATAACTTTTCTATACCCCTTTTCTATTGTTGGACTCAAGGTTCACATCTGCCGCCATAGTTTCCCCATATTTAGTCCAATTACATCAAGGACAAACCGATCACTAATAGGCATGACTCTCTTAAAGAGACTACTAACACTCAACAAACTTAACCAAGTTTTTGGAATTATGAAAGAAAAAAAATACAAATAACTCATAAAAATTCTAGACTTGACTGAACAAACTAGACCAAAACTAAAAAACTAAACAAAAGGAATAACAACCACCTCTAATCTTTCTCAATGACATGACATAGAGAGTGCTACCTATTTATTCCTTGGCCCCAATGCACTAATGAATAGTAAATATACCATAACCAAACAACAACAAAATGAGGCACAATCAAAACCAGCCCAGATTAGTGGCAGAGAAAAAACAACTGCCAAAGAAGAGCAAATTGACATAGATCTCGCAAAAATCAAAGAACATTGTTTTCCCCCTGGTACTAATCCAATGTTCATTATGTGATTTCATAATTTCAGTGTTTTCTTTACTTATTATTATAATTTTTTATTGAGAAAAGCCAAGAGTGTGAAGCAATGGCGGATCCACAACTTTTTTAGGATAAGGCAAAATTGAAAAGGGCTAATCGGTGCCTCATTAGTGTAGTGATTTGGGGCAATTGACTCCCCCCAAGTTGGTCTTGGATTCGAAGCCTAGTATGTGCATTTGTGTGTGAGTTTATCGCCCCCTTCATTTAAGGATTTTCAATATAACGAAAATCAATATAAATTCATCTAACGAAAATTAATATGAATTAATCTAATCAAAATGCATATAAAATTATCAATTAAACAAATAAATCATAATTAATCATACCTCGAGATCCAATGATTGAGAGCTCCATTCCTCAAATAACACTATTTGAGGGATCCCTCAAATAATTTTATTTAAAGGACACCCTTAAGGGTCCCTTACAAACAAAAATTCAACAATCCAAACCATCTATTTTATAAGTCTACATTCATATATCGTCCTCACAAAAAACTAGACAAATTGGAAACCGTTTCGATATTCAATTGTGTCCTCCAAAATCAATGAACACGGTACTTCAAGAAAGTACTAAATTTTCAATAATTCAATTGAGTGGTCCTACAAAATAGACAATTTGGATTAGTGAAATATAATACGGAGTGAGCCTTATAAGGGTGTTCCTCAAATAAGCTTATTTGAGGGATCCCTAAACTAAAGCTCCCTATATATATAAGCGCGTTTTGCACAACAAAAGAAGATGTTTGATGAGGTATTTACTCGAACAATTGGTGGGCACTAGTGGAGGGGCAAATTCCGACACCTCCAAAGCTTTTTTCAACGAAGAGAGAGTGCAACTACATTGCACGTCCTTGCACGTCTATGGCTTCGCCATTGGTGTGAAGTGATTGTGACTATTGATGGATATAAATTAAACATAAATTAACATTAGAGGGAAGCAAATTATTTAGAGTTGGTTCTTCTTTTTCATTTTTTAAGTGATGTTTCAATATTGTGTGTGAAGCCAAGTTGCATAGACAGACTAAGAAGCCGCCGCTCTACAGGAAAAAGATATCATCTGCCGTATAGTGGAAGGAACTAAATACCAAGAAGGCACGGGCGACAAGAAGGGTGGGGGGCCTCCTAACTCGTCCAAAGGCTTGCAATTGCAATGAATGAGATGGTTTCTCATCCACAATGCTCCAATGGTACAAAATTAAATATATTGACACTTCATTAATTTAGCGGATCCCATCATTTCTATAATTTCTAATTATGAGATACAACAAAGTTCACGCTCAAAACAAATATATCTAATTATCAATTTCTACAAACTCGGATTTTCTTTTCCCTAGCCAAATACGATCAATCAAGACATGTAATGAGTGATAATTTTTTCATTCGACACCATAATTGGCTAGGAATAGCAAAATAGTGTTATCCTAGTTCCACACAAGTGTTTCTCCCAACCCTGGGGTGTGAGTGGCACATGGCCCCCAAACTTT